ATCAAAGATTCCTGGAAAAAAATGTATCAACGTTTCCATATTAAGAAGCACAACTATCTATATATATATATATATATATTAGTAAACATTTATTTAAAATTGTAGTAATATAATATATTACTATAATATAAAAGTAATTTTGTTTAAATAAATGTAGCTTTGTGAGCATAAGAGACTTACCAATCTCAACCTTTTGAACAGTAGTGTACAGAATATTATTATGGTTGATTATTATTGTATATTCTCTGTCTGATATATTATTAAATTTCACTTCAAGTAAATTTGTTTTACAAATGTTTATATATACATATATATATATATATATACATACACTGATTAAGAAAAATGATTTTTATGATGGAACTAGTAACTAGCTGAAAAACTAGTACTGTTATGTTATACTTTTGCCTAATATCATCATTGTAAAGAATATAATTTGGCTTTTCAGCTTGAGCTGCCTAATGACTGTCTAGAAGATTTTGAAGAGAAGATCAACAAGGGCAAGCTTAAGCTTGTGCTGACTAATGGAAAGATACAAGGGTAAAACCGTTATCTTCACCCATTTCCCTGAAAAGAGTACTTAATGTTATGTGATGACACTTATTTTTAATACCTCTTCTTCTTCCTCTCTTAGGAAGAAGGGTCGTTCTGGCAGTGCAAATGGAGCCGGGAGTTCAATTCAACAGTTCCAGACCCACATGGCTACTTTGTCTGACTTTGACTCAGAAGACGAGCTTCAGATTGATGAAACCCCTCCACCTCGCCGTAGACCGTCTCTACCTAGCAAGAAAAAATTAGCTGGTAAAAGATTTCTCCCATTTATTGATCATGCTTTCATGATTTCTTTGTTTATGCATCATTTACTCACCTTTATATCATTCAAAACCCATAAGACTTACTTTTAAATTTAATAAGAGTAATATGTTGGTGCGGACTAATACTTCGCTCAATGGTCTCATAAAGGTCTACCAAGGAAACTACCTCGGGCCAAACCATGCAGCGACCCCCACAGAATCCGTGAGCCAGGAGAAGTGGACTTTGATATTGAGGTATGCAAGTCTGTTAGGCCTCGTTTACACTGCAGGTCTACATCTGCAGTGTAGATCTCGTTTACACTTGCCTATATCCGATTTTTTTGGCTGTCCGTTTACACGTTCTTTCAATTGTGACCCATATCCGATTCATGTCTTTACACTACCATCTGAAACATCGCGCATGCGTTGTTGTCATTTACCGCCTCCACATGTGCTTCCTCCTGAGAATAATGTGACCTGTGCTGACGAAACGAACCACAATGAGCAATTTAAAAAAATGACATTCTCCATTAAAAGACCTTCAAAATAATTTATGATTTGTTGGAATCAAACAAAAAAAATTACTGAGCTACACCCGTTTGAAGTCGATAGAGTGAAGTCTTTTCTTATTATTAATTACTATATTAATAATCACAATATAGCTATTTTTTTAAATCAAATGAAAAATTGTGTGTTTGATTGGTCCAGACGCTACATAATCTAAACTAAAGCATTCATGTACGAAAAACAAATAATCAAATGTAAAAATAACTTAAGTGTGTTCATTACAAATAAATTGATTATTAAAACTACAATAGCAGTTCAATGAAGTGCAGCGAGTGCTTCCCTCTTTTCTTTTATTGTTAGATTAACATTAATGATACAGACGTCCTATACTGTAATGCATGGATCTAATATAATGTTACACATCAGATGTTTTCCCCCAACAGTTCCCCAAGCGTTCACTGAAGACAGAACAGATTATGTTTGTGTGAATACTGAAATATTGTAATTCTGTATATGTGTGTATCGGGATCGCGCGCCATTATATGTACGCACTTCGGATGATAGTCAGCGCGAGAAGCGAGCGGAGAAAAGGTAATCCTCGCAGAAAATGTACAAATAAAGATCATTTTAGATGTTTAATTACTACTTGGAGCATTATTTCAAGTTTTTATTTTTTTTTTGCCTGTAGCTCAAAATAACCCGTACGAATTTACACTCATTTTGCCAGCACGGGTCACATACGTCCTATACTGTAATGCATGGATCTAATATAATGTTACACATCAGATGTTTTCCCCCAACAGTTCCCCAAGCGTTCACTTAAGACAGAACAGATTATATTTGCGTGAATACTGAAATACTGTAATTCTGTATATGTGTGTATTTATCGGGATCGCGCGCCATTATATGTACACACTTCGGATGATAGTCAGCGCGAGAAGCGAGCGGAGAAAAGGTAATCCTCGCAGAAAATGTACGAATAAAGATCATTTTAGATGTTTAATTACTACTTGGAGCATTATTTCAAGTTTTTATTATTTTTTTGCCTGTAGCTCAAAATAACCCGTGCGAATTTACACTCATTTTGCCAGCACGGGTCACATATGACGTCATTAAACCGCGGAGAAGTACCAAATTGTCGCAGATTTAATGACGCACAGAACGCAATGCCTCAGAAAATTCGATCTGCCTGTTTACATGACAGTCGCATTGGCACATAATCTGATTTATATCCGATTTATTTCCATATATGAATGAGGCCTGAAACCGATCTAGAAATATTCGAATGCATGCGTTTTTTTCCTGTTTACACTGTCATAGAACGGATCCGATCTGTGTCACATATGAGCAAAAAATCGGAATTGGGTCACTTTTAACTGACAGTGTAAACGGGGCCTTTTAGGCAAGCTTAAGATTCCTTTCTAGGTGTCTGGTTGTCACTGGTTTTATATCTTGTTGATAAATAGGAGGATTACACCACAGATGAAGAGATGCTCACAGTGCAGGGTGTGAAAGGCGGAGCAGGTGGGATTTTAGACTTGCTCAAGGCAAGCAAACAGGTGGCGGGTCTTGATTCTGCACTGAGGTACTTCACACGCACATTTTTATACTACATGCTGATCATTACTAACCTTTATCTCAAAGTAAAATATGCAGTTATGTACTTGCTGTTAGGCTCAATTCTACTAATTTTCCCCTTATCAAGTGAGGAAGCACCAGCCTCCCCCAGCACCCGTGATGCTATCCAGGGCATGCTCTCGATGGCCAACCCTCCATCTTCCTCATCCTCTTCCTCCTCCTCCTCCTCCTCTCCACTATCTATCTCTGGAGGAGGTGAGATGTTGGGGCTTATGAAGGAGAAAGGAGGGAGAGCTGGGTGGATAAGTGGAGTCAAGAAGAGTGAGAAAAAGACCACATTTCAGAGGCCAGGAAAACGGCCTATCAAACGTCCAGCACGGCACCTCAGTGATGAAGAAAGCTTGGATGAACAGGAGACCTTGGGTACCTGTTTTAAAGACTCTGATTATGGTGAGTTCACAGATTCTTGAACATTTACACCAGTGTTGCTAACATACTTAGCAGAGGAAATACTGCGACCCACAGTGATTCTGTTTAAAGGAGAATTTCCACCCTCTTCTGCAGTGTATCCATCACTAGAATCTGACGAGGAGGATCACATAAGCAAGTCAAAAATGAAAAGAAAGCGAAACTGGGATGATACACCCTGGAGTCCTAAAGGTATATGCGTTTATGATTTATGATTTTATAGCATTTTTTTCCTAAACTGCTCTAAACCTCATTTCTTCACACGTCCTCAGCCCGTGTGACCCCTACACTGCCTAAGCAGGAGCGGCCGGTGAGAGAGGGTGCAAGGGTGGCTTCTGTAGAAACTGGGCTTGCAGCTGCTGCTGCCAAACTGGCACAACAGGTGAGCTTTTGTCCCACACTATGCCAGAACTTCTATAGATGTGGACCATTACATACCATTACTTTGGATGTGCATCTTTAAAGGGATAGTCCACCTAAAAATGAAAATACTGTCATTAATTACTCGCCCTCATGTCGTTCCAAACCCGTAAGATCTTTGTTCTTCTTCGGAACACAAATTAAGATATTTTTGATGAAATCAGAGAGCTTTCTGACCCTGCATAGACAGCAAGGGTCCTACCACGGTCAAGGCCCAGAAACGTAGTAAAAACATCTTTAAAATAGTGCATGTGACATCAGTGGTTCAACCGTAATTTTATGAAGCTATGATACTTTTTGTGTGCAAAAAACAAAAATAACTTTATTCAACAATTATTCTCTCCCGAGTTACCATCTACTGCCATTATTGAGAGTAACACGATGCATGCGCGTGATGCTGCTGACGTTGAACACGCATGCGCTGCACCTTGTTTACGAGTAGAGGAAATCACGCACATGCATTGTATTACTCTCAATAATGGCGGTAGATGGTAACTCGGGAGAGAATAATTGTTGAATAAAGTTATTTTTGTTTTTTTGCGCACAAAAAGTATTATCATAGATTCATAAAATTACGGTTGAACCACTGATGTCACATGCACTATTTTGTCGATGTTCTTGGTACCTTTCTGGGCCTTGACCGTGGTAGGACCCTTGTTGTCTATGCAGGGTCAAAAAGCTCTCAGATTTCATCAAAAATATCTTAATTTGTTTTCCGAAGATGAACGAAGGTCTTACGGATTTGGAACGACATGAGGGTGAGTAATTAATGACCGAATTTTCATTTTTGGGTGAACTATCCCTTTAAAAGTGTTAAAAAAATGTTTTGTTTTTTTTTCAAAATAGCCTTTAAATGTAGTCAATATTTGTTCATGTCATGTTCATTTTAGTAACTTTTACTAAAATGGCATCTAATTTTAGTCTTTGAAAAATAACATTTTATTTGTCAAGGAACTGCAAAATTAAACTAAATATTAACTTTTTAAATATATGACATTGTATATATTAATTGACACATAAAAAAAATGTAAAAACCTGATCTCCTGAAATAAAACTACGCTTTAGTTATTCATTGTCCATGTTTTATGTGTTTTAGTTCATTGTTGCAGAAAAAGTGCTGTCACAACATGATCTACAGCATGTTTTGACTAATTGGATTTTTAAAACAATATTTTTTTTCTACAAAAAACATTACCATTAAACGTACACTATGGTTCAAAAGTTTGTAGTCATTAAGTTTTTTTTTTTAAAGATAAGTCTCTTGTGCTCAAACGCTGCATTTATTTAATCAAAAATACAATAAAAACGGTAATATTCTGTAATATTACTACAATTTAAAATAGCTGTGCTGCTTAATATTTTTGTGGAATCTTACTGACCCCAAACTTTTGTATATAAACATTAATAATATTTTTGTCAAATTTTTATCAATGCTATAATTTAATATAATTAAAATGATATAATTTGTCATTATGCTAATTTTTTTGTCTTGTCTTTATCGTTGATAATCAAAAAACGCTGTTTTCTCAGTATTTTCCTTGACAAGATTAACACTGAGATAAACATCTTGTTACTTTAATATCAGGAACAGCAGAAAACCATAACCAAGAGAAAATACACCAAGAAGAAGGTCCCTCAAGAGAAAGTACATTCTGCAGCTGCCCAACTCCAGCGCCAGCCGGACTCTGCACCCGTGTCTCCTCCTCTGCCCTCTGAGCCTCCTGTGGACTGCATAGTTGAGGAGAGGAGAGTGGAGGTGTACTCTGCCAGCTTGCTGGACCACGAGTACACAGCAGGACCAGGTCCGTTCAGCCCAGGGGGCCCAAGAGGAAGTGGTGCCATGGCCCCTGGCGTGTTCCTGACTTCAAGACGCCCCTCACTCTCTCCCCAAAACAGCAGCAGTTATTCTCCCTCTGCCCCCTCACCTGGAGGGCTGGCTACTCCAACGTCAGCAGGAGTGTGTCAAGGTAACTAGATTTACCGTACATTACCCATAAAAGGATAAGTGTTTGGAATCACATTGAAATTTTTTCACTCTTCATTCTCACAGGAAAACGTCCAAAGAAAGGACTTGCTACGGCTAAACAGAGACTGGGAAAGATTCTGAAAATACATAGAAACGGCAAGCTTCTTCTGTAGTTTGATAATATGGAGAGGAGACTGCAGGGAACAACAGAGGAGGAGAAAACTAATAAGGATCAGAGAGGACTTGAGTGATTGTGGTGTTAATTTATGTGACTGTTTTATGGTTAATGTTCTGCTAGCCTGGTTTTTATTTGCTTCATCGGGATGAAAAGTGAAAAGAATGGTAACTTGCTGTGAGAAAATTCAATTGAAATCCATTTAGCATGGTGTTTTAGAATAGAAATTCTATTTGAAAAGCAAATAGATCTAAACCGACGGATACAATAATGGAGTGATGACTGTATTGCTAATTGTTTTTCCATAATTTTCAGTGCTCCACCTCTGAAAACGAGCTGCGTACATGTACACTTCCCTTTGTTTCATAGTTATTAATTGACTTTTAGTTTTAACATTGTATATTTCTAGAAAAAAAGCTGAATTCTTAGGAGCACTTGATGTTAGATCCAATTGCCTAAAGCCATTGTAAACAAAAAGATTACATTGTTCAGAAGATCTCTGACTGGTTTATTTGAAAAATTGACTTGAGGATAAAAATAGGATTGAGGTTGTTGTTTGGCCTGAATTGTCAAAAGTCAATTTATAAATGGCACACTTTCTCATGGCTATTTGTCCCGGTCCAGTCTCCTCCTGAAGCCATGCATATTATTTGTTTACATGCTTCATTTAGTATCTATTCATATCAAATTATTTTATACCATCGAAGGCAATTTGATACACAATTGACCGTAATTGCTGTAGATTAAGTCCTGTAGTAAGGTCTCTTTGCTTGTTAAAATGTTTTTACTGTAATACTAACACATTTTTATCAACAATTGTATTTTAGATGTGTATATACTTTAAGTTTGTCATGTTTTGTTTGTTTTCCACTTAGCATGGGCAGCATAGTGTCCTGTCACCATTTGGCCAGGGTTATCTTTGCCATCTATAGTACAGCTTCATGTTTAATTGTAGAGGTTGAGTTCAGTGGTGGGCACGTTTTAGTAATTGTAGAGAACACAGAAATTGACTTTAGTGCAGTTTAAGATCATATGGCTGATTCTGTAGGTTCAGTGTACATATTTGGTGTTTTATTATTTTTTTATTATTATTAACTTTTTTTCTTTAGAAAGAAAGAAATTGCATTGGAATCTTTCTTGACACCTTGTACAAAAATACATGTTTTGAGGTAAGTAATAGCATACAAGTTGTTTAGTTCAGTTTTATTTGTATAGGATAATTATGCTGTTATTTTTCATTGACGCTTATGATATTAGCAATGTGATGAAGTTAATGTATTCTATTGCTACTTCAATGTTATTGTTCATTTTATTTTTTCCCCCACTTATCAATTTGAATGTCAATATACTTTAGTTTTGCTTTTTATATATAATACTCCATTCTAGAAGAGTAAAATGTAACATTTTCTTGTAATTTTATGTAATGGCAACAGTATTTTTTTAGTCTTCTCCTTTGACCATTATGTCAGAACCAAAAAATATTGATAAATTAGTGGGCCAGTGTAAATATTATTTTAGGTTTTTTTTTTTTCCTTCTTTTGTCCCCCCTAAAAATGTCACGGATCTTGTCATCATGCTATCCAAATGTAATTAGAAACATGTTTTGAGGTTTGTAGAAATTTGTTTTGAACGTGAAATAACGGAAGACAGTTGTTCGAATATTCTGGTAAAACTATAATTTTTTAGACATTTTCACATGATTCTGAAATTATTCTGGATATTTCTGTAATATTTTGAGTTTTTTGTACATTTATTTGATTTGTCATCTTCTTCACATCGTCTCTTAATGTTGCTACTTACACCCATATTTTACTAAACATCTGTGCCTTCAGTAAAGTCCCAAACATAGCGACCTCTCTTACTGAAACTGTGCATATCTGCACATCTTTTGATACTAGATTTAATTTAATGGCATCTCTTGTCTACTGAGACAGCTATTCAGGATTTCTGGCCATTGACATTGAAAAACAGGAATGATGTGAAGCAAGATGTGCAACAAAGAAAGTGTTCAAAAACCTCAAAATATGCGAGGACTGACTTTTAAATATGTTCTTATTAAAACTTACATTTACTTAAGTTATTCTCTTCTTATTACCTGAAGTTAATTGTGTGCATTTTAGGATTTATTTATCTTTTAACCATTTTCTTGTCTGCTAAAGTTTATTTTGAACAATTAATGTTGATCACACAGTTCCTCTCAGGGTTTATTTTGTAACTAATATCATTTTGATAGAATCGTTTAAAAAGAGCAACAGTAGTGTTAGGAGTTCACATTCAGGACCAGTTAAAAACCAAGTAAAATTTGAACCCATTTAATATTTATAATTGGACGTTGTCTTTTGCTATTGTCACCACCTTTGGTTTTTGAAACGGCTTGAGCAGATTTTTCCAAATGACCTCTATTAAAAGATATTCTTAAAAAATTGTTTGCATTTTTGTCATTATACGCCTATTTTCGTCTGCAAGTGTCATGTAGTCTCTCACGTGCTTAGTGGGTCAACTCCACATTTACCCGCGAACAAGCTTCTTTGACTCTTGCAGTAGTTCAGACGTTAAATTATGAACCCAAATTATTATATAAATTATGAAATGGAATGAACGGCACAAACGGGATTAGTCACGTGATTTAAAGCCGCATCTCCGTTGCCGTTGTAGTGTTAATGGCGGTCAGCGATTGGCTGATGCCACGTCTCCGTCAGCCAGTCAAAACGCGCGCTTTTTACAAACCACTCCGGAAGTCAGCACGCTAGTGTTGTTTTCTAGCCTGGGCCAGGAGAGAGTGGCTTGGTGTGGAAAGTCCTGTAGCTTGAAAACAACATAAAAAGCTGCAGTTGTCGGCTACTGCTTAAGCCCAGGTCTTGGTACGTATGTGTGGGTTATTAAAAATATATACCTACCGTCTTATTCACATTGAATATGACTTTATACATAACAACTAGGTACTCAAGAGTTTGCGTATTAGCAGTTTTCTGACGCTGTACACTGCTAGTTATATAGTAGTGAAGTTTTTAATGATTGAGCGAACATTTCTTCGTTAAGGAACGTTTTATGACCACTTTCAAGAGCCGTCTTGTTTATAGGCACTGAACCCCTCTCGAGATGGCGTCCTCAAACACTCTGAGACCCCAGAACAGAAGTCAGCAGGATCATTCAGGGTGAACTGATCATGAATTAATCATATTTTACCCTCTAATTTGCAGTACTGTAATGGATTTGATATCACCTTGCTCAGTTTTTGAATAATTCATTAGTCATTTGTTTTGTAATTTTTTTAAAACCAATAATAATCAGTTTAATGACTGAATATTTCATGTAAGTATTAAAATTGAATAATCTTACAGTGATGCTATGGTGTTGATTTCTGAACCATTTCTTTCAATGCCATTAGGATCTTGAAGCTTCAAGAGTTGAAGACAAAAAGTGCTTCCTCTAAAAGAAGATCTGAGAATTTGGACCCCAATACCTCTGCTGAAACTGGAAAAGGAGTCGGTAAACTCAAAGGTGTCAGCAGGCTTCCAGTCCTTGCCAAATCTCTGCAACCAGCTCTAAGTGAGCTCTCCCAAAATCCCAGTCACAACAGATGGGAACAGAGTGCTCTTACAGTAAGGATACCACAAAAGTGTTATTTTAGTTTTATTTATATACTTGTATATTTTTTTATTAATATTATTAGAATATTACAATTAGCTTGTATTTTTATTTGTTTTCATTTTAATTTTAGTAATTAATATTTTAGTAACATGTTTTTTAACATGTCTATATATCTTTAATTCTTTTCATTTCAGTTTTAGTTTTAGTAATTTTAGTACTTGAACTAATAAAAAATTAGAGCTGTTTCCTAGGCAACTACCTGAAGTAAGTTCTAATTCTAATATTTAAACAGATTTGTTTTGAATACCAAAAATGATTTTTAATAGTTTTAGTTAACAGTACACTACTACACTGTGACATAATGATTTCTTTTTCATTTGTCTTCAGAGTAAAGCTCAGAAAAAAAGGATCTACACCAAACCTGTTCCTTTCAATTTGTCCCAGTCACGCACACACAATCAGAGAAACACAGCCATTCCTCTAGGACAAGTGTCCCTGACGCCTTCTACCCGACTAACACCAGGGGCAAAAGTGAGGAACTTGAATCAAAGTGCCAAAACTGAAACTTCAAGTAATAAAGCTATGACATCAGGTGTCCTCAGGGCTCAGGCTAACAAATCACATCAACTGCATCCTGGTAGTCATGCAGAATATGTGGCATCAAATAAAGACTCCAGTGATGTTCACCCATCTTCACATGAATCCGGATGCTGCAGTCACACTGATTTAAGTTCACGTTTAGGTAGCATCACTCTTGTACAATCTAAGATTCCGGAAGACTCAGGTTTGAGTAATTTATGTAAAACTTCACTCATTAAAGTAGATGTTAATTCTGATAATCAAGCACCAAAGGACAAGCACTGTCTCCCATCAACAACACAAAGCCATGTTAACACTAAAGGTGAGTGACATAATATCAGATCTTTTCTTATTGTGTCAGTGTTCAAGTTCGATCTCAACGGTGTTCAAGTTCGATCTCAACGGTGTTCATAGTTTTTCTTTTAATTTAGCCACTGGTTGTTTATAATTAATGTATGTAAATATGAGTCAAATCTTTCATCAGCTGTGCACAATGTCCTCCCATGTGAGGGATCGAGTGCTTTTGGAGCACAATGCATGATGCCACGTTTATCTACCTGCCCCCCTGGACCAGGAACCTTCAATAATCTGGTTAGAAATTGTAGATCTTAGTAATAAAACCAAAGTGTTTACCGACCTTTCATGATGATCATGACAGTTGTCTTTTCAGTCTACTATGTGCTCTGGTGCTCATGTATTTTGATCTTGTAGCCTCAAAGAGTTGTGAAGAAGAGTCATAGCCTAGATGTCATCGCAGGTTAGTTCCTTTTCAGAGACTCAAGCTTTCCTCAGAATCACAGAATGTAAGCTTTTTCTTTCTCCTATCATCTCAAGACAAATCTGGGCCGTTTTCCCCTGACCCATCAGCACTACGTAGTATTCTACAGAGTGATGGAATGAGACTCGGGGAGCACATTGGAGCAACACCCAGAGCATCAACTTGTCCTACTGGCAGAGGAACCTCTATTTATTCTGTGAGTCCATTCCATTGTCCAATGTCCCTTCACACATTGATAATGATATTTTACTTCTGAGTGGACTGTTTAGGCAGAATAAGTTGTGAGATAGAAGAACTGATTCTTAATAGCTACCTTGTCCACCTCAGGCTCAAAGAGTACCTGCCAAAAAGACTCAAAAAGAAGCTCCAGCAGAGGCCAAAAGCCCTACAGGTATGTATTACAATTTGGTACAGCAGCAAAGTTCCTTGATTATTACGCCGGAATGAGAGTATAGTTCCTAGCCATATCGGCCTAGAAAATCGCAACTTTTCATTTTCCGTCAGTCTTAGTACACGATGTAACTACAGAAGAGTCAAGTTTTAAATAGGAAAAATATAGAAACTCATTGGTCATTTTTGAGCGAGATGCTAACGGTCTAATTCGATTCAATGATCTATGCTAAGCTACAGCTAAAAGTGCTACCGCCAGACCCGGAGATCGGCTGAATGGATTCGAAAACGGTTAAACTCAACTGTTTAACTCTAGGGGAGTTGAAAAATGAGTGTTCCTTTAACAAATTGTGTTCATTAATCTGTGTATGGTTTGTGCCTGCAGGAAGTGCCTTCTCTCCTGATCCATCAGCGCTTCGTGGTATTCTACAGTTCAGTGGAACAACACCTCATGCACCAACCGGCCTTACAGGCAGAGCAACTTCTGTTTACTCAGTAATGCCCAGTCACATTTGTTGTCTTAACATTTGAATTTTGAATGCTAAAAAAATAAGGTTTGAAATACCTTGTTCAATTCAGGCTCAAAGAGTGCCAGTTAGAAAACCTCAAACAGATGATTCAGCAGCTGTCAAAGTTCCTGCAGGTAATCTAGCCCATTTATTTTGCATTAAATGAAGTGTAGTCACTTCTGCTCAAATCAATACTTTTATTCAACACGGATACATTAAATGCATCACAAGTGACAGTAATGACATTTAAAATGTTATAAAAGATTTCTATTTCAAATAAATGCTGTTCTTTTTAACTTTCTATTCAAAGAATCCTAAAAAAAAATGTATCATGGTTTCCACAAAAATATTAAGCAGCACACCTGTTTTCAACACTGATAATAAATAAATGTTTCTTGAGCCACAAATCAGCATATTAGAATGATTTCTGAAGGATTATGTGATACTAAAGACTGGAGTAATGACTGCTGAAAATTCAACTTTGCCATCACATATTTTAAATTGTAATATTTCACAAAATTACTACTTTTATTGCATTTTGATCAAATAAATGCAGCTATGTTGGGCATAGGAGATTTCCTTCATGACCCCAAACTTTTGAACGCCAGTGTATACTGATATGTTACAGCACCATTTACAGACTGTGTTATTATGCAGTGCTTTCCCCCCATAAGGCTGATATGAATGTCATGATTCAAAAATAATTTTCCTTTAGGAAGTGGTGTGTCCTTCTCCCCTGACCCTGCAGCCCTGCGCAGTATTCTACTGAATGAAGGTGTGAGGGCTGGTGGAGCAACACCCAGAGTTTCCACCTGTCCCACTGGCAGAGGAACTTCCATTTATTCTGTGAGTCTGCTCGGATGGATTCATTTACATTTACATTTATTCATTTGGCAGATGCTTTTATCCAAAGTGACTTACAGCCGAGGAATACAACAAGAGTAAAAGCTAGGAAGAATAAGAGAATAGAAAAAGTGAAGGCATAGAATTTTTTTTTTTTTTGAGGAAACAGTTAGATGCTCACAGAAAAAATGAGTTTTCAGTTGTTTCCTGAAGATTGTGAGGGATTCGGCTGTCCGGATGAAGTTGGGTAGGTCATTCCACCAACAGGGTACTGTGAAAGAAAACGTCCTTGAGAGTGATTTTATGCCTCTCTGCAATAAGACCACGAGCCTCCGCTCATTTACTAACCGCAGGCTCCTGTAGGGGATGTAGACACATGGGAGAGAGTGGAGGGTGCAGAGCCCGTGGCTGTTCTGTAGGCAAGCACCAATGTCTTGAACTTGATGCGAGCCACAACTGGAAGCTAGTGCAGAGAGATGAGAAGGGCTCTGTTGGGCTCATTGAAAACAAGATGTGCTGCTACATACATACAAAGATTAATTTGCAGTGATCTGATTGCACATGTTGGAAGTCCAGCCAGAAAAGTATTGGAATAGTCCAGCCTAGAAATGACAAGGGCCTGGAAGAGAAGCTGTGTTGCATGCTTTGTTAGGAAGGGTCTGATCTTCCTGATGTTATGTAGTGCAAACCTGCATGATCGTGCTGTTTCTTTAAAGCTTAGCTGATCATCAAGGATCACCCCAAGTCTCCTGGCCAAACTCAATGGGATTATCGTTGATGAGCCCAGTTGGATGGTAAACTGGTGCTGTACTGATGGGGTGGCTGGGAAGATGAGAAGCTCTGTCTTTGCCAGTTTGAGTTGCAGGTGATGTTCTGTCATCCATGCCAAGATGTCCGTCAGGCAGTCTGAGATCCGAGCAGGTACTGTTGGATCATCTGGTTGAAATGAGAGGTAGAGCTGAGTGTCATCAGCATAGCAGTGGTAGGAAATACCATGTGCCTGAATGATAGGTCCCAGTGATGTAGTATATATAGAGAAGGTTAGGGGCCCAATAACTGATCCCTGAGGAACCCCAGAGACCAATAATTTGGATACCTCTCCTCTCCAAGACACCCTGAAGGACCTACCTGTGAGGTAAGACTCAAACCAATGGAGTGCAGTTCCGGTGATGCCCAGCGATGAGAGGGTGGACAGAGGGATTTGGTGATTAACAGTGTCGAACACAGCAGATAGATCTAGAAGAATGAGAACTGAAGATTTCGACTCAGCTCTTGCACTCCATAGCGCTTCAGTGACTGACAGCAAGGCGGTTCTAGTTGAATGGCCACTTTTAAATCCAGATTGGTTATTGTCCAGCTGGTTTTTCTGTCAGAGGAAGGAAGACACTTGGTTGATCACAACGCGTTCAAGTGATTTTACGATGAACGGGAGGAGAGACACGGGCCTGTAGATTTCAATAAGTGAGGTCTCTAGTGTAGATTTTTAAGCAGTGGGGTTACCTGAGCCTGCTTGAATGCGGTAGGAAAAATGCCTGTGAGAAGAGATGTGTTGATGTGTGTGAGTGAAGTCAGAAGTGCAGGGGAAATAGATTGTAGGAGATGTGAGGTGATCGGGTCTAGAGGGCAGGTGGTAAAGTGGCTGGAGAGGATAGGTTTAGAGACTTCATCTTCTGTAAGAGGAGAAAAGATGGTCAGCTCTGTGATTGTTTGCTGTGAGTTCCTGGGTGAGTCGAGCCGAGACCAGACTGCTGTTGGATGTGGTTTTGTTTGTGAAGTAATTAGCAAAATCGTCTGCTGTTAGAGAGGTGGTGAGAGGTGGCAGAGGGGGACAAAGGAGAGTATGTTTTGAAGAGATTCAAATTCCAATTGTGTGCCATAATGAAGGTGTTTAGAATCATGCAATTTTCTTTACTTTAGGCCCAGAGAGTCCCAGTGAAGAAGAATAAGCCTGAAGTCGTTGCAGCAGCAACATCATCTCCGTGTAAGTTTGACTCTCCAGTGTTTCTTCCCCTTCAACATCATGTTTTCGACCCTGTAAACCACTGTTTCTCTGCTGTGGTGCAGGTGCAAATAGAACACCAGTGATGAAATGGACACCGCAGCGGGTCGCAAACACCAAACCACAGTCAGTGGTGAGTGTTCTCTTGTCTTGTCTCATTGTTTTGTACAGTATCCATTGGCATAAAGTTGTTTTAATTCAAGGCTGTGAAAAGTTTTCAATATCCTCTGTTTTTCTTTTTCTTTTTTTATTATTTATTTTCTTTTAATTTTTTGTGTGTGTGTGTTCTGTTTTGAAACTATTTGTATCCCAGGTTTATGTTTACTGTTTCTGTTTACAGAGGAAGCTTTGTACTGCCCAAAAGATGTCCAGTTTAAGGGGCTCCCCAGGTTTGCATGAAGCCCACAACCCCAGCACTGGACTCTTGGTGTGCCAGGAGGTAAAACAGTCCCATAATGCAGAACCCTTTTAATTTCTTTCTTGATTTCTACATGATAAAATGGCAGGTTAACACTGGGTGTTGAATGTGTTATAGGGGGAAGATGTCGTTCAAAGGTTATTTGAGGACCAAGAGCAGATGAACGATGACCAGATAGACCAAGATGACATTACTTCACAACAGTTACTGAACAGCCATCAAACTGTACGATTGATTTAACTCTAAAACATTAATTTATGCATCACTGATCAATTTCTTGATGGCCTAAAAGCAAACTCACATGATCTTCTCTTCATGCAGACTGAAACGCAGTCAACAATTAAAGAAAATTCCGATTCGAATCATTGTCACACTAAGGACGAAGGCAAGAAAACAGCTCAGCCTTTCATACAAGCAGCACACAGAGGGTCAGTCATCGTTTTCTCATCAAGCCAAAGACTTGGATCAGACCGGTCTCAGGATACTCTGAAGACTCCTGGGACAGGTGAACCTCTGCAGCTCCTTGAAGGCCAGCTTGCATCCCATAATGCACTACCACTACAATCAGACCAAAGCAATGGATCACAGATCAATCCCAGCTTAGACCTGCCTAAACAAAGCCAATCAAAAGGTAAGCATTCCATCCAAAGTGAAACTAATATTAACCTTTTTTCTATTTTCTTGTAACATGCAGTGCTGCAAATGGCCATTTCTGTCCAGTGTTATATTTTATATATATATTTTACACATCCTGAAAACTTTTAAGCAGTTGTAGAAGTGCATACTGCATTAAATGCATTTCCACATCTGTCTGTAGCTCCTACTGTCACGCACTCTACTGCTGTGTCTGCTCTGCGGCGGAGTCATACTCCTCTGGAGGAGATGTTTCTGCATGAGGAATGTGCTACGTATACTTCTCGCCTGCTGTCCTGCCCACTGCAGCCCCGCTGTGGCAACCCGGTGGCTGCCACACTTCTGTTTCAAGACTCTACAGTGAGTGATCATTGTGTTTTGAATTGTGCTTACTAAACTGGTTGTCAAGCTGAATAGCTGTTAATACATCTTGGGTAACACTTTATTTGAAGGTGTCCTTGTTACACATGTTACATGTACTGTACTTACTATTATAATAACAATTATGCATAATTACATGTAAGTAACCCTAAACCAAACCCTAATCCTAACCCTAACCATATAGTTAGTACTTGTAGTTAATTAATATTACTCGGTACTTAAATGTATAATTACACTGTAACAAGGACACCTTAAAGTAAGGTGTAACCACATCTTATCTCTGTCTTCTCTACAGTGTTTTTTACCCATTGGCCTGTCCTCTCCTGTACGTCTGAGTCCTGTCCCTTCAGGTTCCTCTATCAGAGCATAAAGGGAGATGTCCCACAACACATTACACATGTCAGTCTGTGTATGTAAGACTGTCTGAAACCGTATTTCTAGTTGCAATTTTGATACAGTCCGATGTATCTGGCTACAGTTTCCACAAGCAGCAAAGTCTTTGATAGACCCAATATTTGGTGGGATTCAGTGTTGACAACGTAACTGAATGCAAAATCTCTAAATATTGAACACTTTCATAATTTTTACACTGAATTTGTCACTGACTGGAAACACTGTGCGCTTTCCACTTGTCTCTTGTATGAAGTGTATAATAAATGTACATATAAACATTTAAGTTTTGTCATAAATTTTAGTTCTTTTTTTCTTGAATTATACTATTGCAATGTTGTAGATGTGCTTTATGCAATCGTTTAATATTATTTGGTGCTGGAGCTTTAATACACTAAAATATTAGACTTCATTTTCATTTAAAATTCATTAAGGATATTCTTATTTTGAAGAGTTTTTTTTAAATCATATCAAATTATATAAAAGTATATTCTATAACAAATTATTATATTATATAATAATTATTTAAAAATTACAATTATATTGGTTCAGTCAAAAACCACATTTAAATAAGTTAATTATTAATACAAATAGAAATAAATTATTTAATGTAATAATTCAATAAATTATTATAAATATTCAAATAAAACATGACATTAAGACTGTTTATGTAACATTGAGACATGGCAAACTTGATCTCTTTTTTTCTTATTAAGCATGTAACCTTTGCTGTGTAATTCAAGTTGTTACTTTATATTTAGCTGAGTCAGGGGGTGTTCTACTGACGCGTCTGTGTTTGTGAAATGAAATCCAGGGGGTGGGTACAAATTGCTGGAACACCGTCCTATTAAACCCTTCCCTCTGGAGCCCCTTGCTTTGAGAGACGGTGCAAACACGTCTTTAATTCACCTCCTTTTCCTATTCCCTCTGCCACCAATTTCTGGAATACCTGAACCATGGCTAACATAAACACAGCTGGGGTCGATCCGACAAAGATGGGGGTCGGATGGGCCATTGCTGTACTGACGTCAGGTGGTGATGCCCAAGGTAATACCTCTTAAATTTTGTGCTAGTCTCTATGGTGGTCTCCAAGAGGGTGTTCAAAGAAATACCTGCATGGATGATTAGATAATAGATTTGGTGGAGTTTTTAGACCATTTTTGTATACTTTATAAACAAGAATTTTTCCCCTCAGATACAGTATTCATATTGTTGTAGTCACTTTTTATGTTCAAAGCTAGATGACACAGTTTGTCAATTGCTGAGAGTAAATTGTTAAACCAGTTCTCTATGGTTTAAAACTATCAGGAATAAACATGATCTAAACTTTAAATTTTGAATATCTATCTCTATCTATCTATCTATCTATCTATCTATCTATCTGTAATGTAATAAGAATTGGAAGACGCGATTAAATTACCCCAGATAATATATAAAGAAGTTAAAATTTAAGAAACTTAGGCAGAAAATAGGACAAAAAGTACTGACAAAAAGAAATCTTTAATATTTTGAATTGCACTGGCCCATTAAGGTCAATGCTCTTGTAGCCCTTAGCTATAGCCTGTAGCTCTTGTCCCCCTCTTCCTATTTCCATAATTGAAGGCTAAATTTATCTCCAGTGACCTTCTTCTGAAATGACATAAGGTTATGGAGAGTACCAGGATTTTCCACAGCCGCACACTGTTGAAACTAGAGACACTGAACTGCGTTTGTGCACCATCCGAACACCTAAAGCTTTAGTGCTGAGCTCACAGATCTCAGACACTCTTGTTCACACCATTCCACAATGTGGTCAAGTAATGAAATGTCACGTGAGGTATCTCTCCTTACTTTCTCAGTAGCCTTGTGTATCTCTATAGTTAAAGATATATGAAGAATGTTTTCTTGACTATTGCAGGGATGAATGCAGCTGTGAGGGCCACTGTCAGAGTTGGCCTTTACACTGGAGCCAAAGTCTTCTTTGTCCATGAGGTACATTTTCATTTATTAGAATACTCACAAAAGTGTCCATGCCAGTCACCTGATAACAGTGTTGTTGATGTCATGTCTGTTCACCATGTGCAGGGCTATCAGGGATTGGTTGATGGAGGGAATCACATCCGTCCAGCTACATGGGAGAGTGTGTCCATGATGCTACAGCTGGTGCGCCTTCAGATGCTAGAATTGATTAAATTCGGTTTATTATTCCTAGCATACTAGGGTTTTAATTTCAATGCAACTTTTTAATGTACTCTATGCAGTGCTATGATTGTCTCTTTTCTTTGTGTCTGTCTGAAGGGTGGTACAGTCATTGGCAGTGCCCGCTGTAGGGATTTCCAGACCAGAGAGGGGCGTTTGAAGGCTGCCTACAATCTCGTCAAACTAGGCGTCACCAACCTTTGTGTAATTGGTGGCGATGGCAGTTTGACTGGTGCCAACATATTTCGCACTGAGTGGAGTGACTTGCTGAAAGATCTGATCAGCAAAGGTAAACAATCTGTACTGAATTTCAATGTATTTTTTTTATTTAAAATTTTAATTTAAGATAACTGTTTTCTGTTTTAATATATTTTACATCTAATTTATTCCTGTGATGGCAAAGCTTTACTCCAGTCTTCAGGGTCACGTGATCTTCATTCTAGTATGATTTGCTGCTCAAGAAACATTTCTATCATCTTGTTTCTCGAGATACATTGTTTTTTCTATTCTTTGATGAATAGCAAGTGACATAACATTATCCTTCATAATATTATACATGTCTTTACAGTCACTTGTGCTCTATTTAATGTACCTTTACTGAATAAAAATAGTAATTTCTTTCCAAAAAAAAAAAAAATTAATCTTTCTGTATCCCAAACTTGCAACTTGACTAGGTATATACTGAACTGACAGTCATATTCTCCATTTATACACAGGTAAGATCATAAATGAGGAGGCCAAAGCTTCATCTCATCTGAATATCGTTGGTATGGTTGGTTCTATCGATAATGACTTCTGCGGAACGGACATGACCATCGGCACAGACTCTGCCCTACATCGTATCATTGAGGTGGTGGACAGTATCACCACAACAGCACAAAGGTCACAAATATATGCAATTGATCAAATATTAGCTATGATCCTTAGTGTTTTCTGTTATTTTGTTTTGGCATTTATTCCTAAACTGTGACCTCTGCTCTCACCCACAGTCACCAACGTGCTTTCATCCTAGAGGTCATGGGAAGACACTGTGGGTAAGAATGTGCTTGTGTATGTCTGTTTGATTATACACTGAAGTGAGTTTACTGTACGTGTGCAACAGAACTGAAATTGAGACCAGAGTCCCTAATATATGGTTTAAATGCCAGAATCTCACATTTAATGAATTGAAATGAGCTTGCATTTGCTAAGTACAATGTGTGTGTGTCTGTGTGTTTCAGTTACCTAGCTCTGGTTACTGCTCTTGCATGTGGTGCTGACTGGGTGTTTATTCCTGAGATGCCCCCAGATGACGGGTGGGAGGATCATTTGTGCAGAAGACTCACTGAGGTACAAAGAAATTGACAAAATGCAAGAAATGCACAAACAAAAATGATATATTTTTGATAAACTACCGTTTAAAAGTTTGGGGTTTGGTAAGATTTGTTTTATTTTTTGAAAGAAGTCTCTTATGCTCACCAAGGCATGTTATACAATCATTATAACAATTTAAAATAAATAAATAAAACTTTTTTTTGTTTTTAAGTTTGTTTGAGTATGTGTGTGAGTACTGGTATTCTCTATTTAATGGGGAATATGTCCCCACAAGGATAGTAATACCAATAAAGTTTGACCTTGTGGGGACATTTTTTGGTCCCCATGAGGAAACAAGCTTATAAATCACACAGAAAGAAGTGTTTTCAAAATCTAAAAATGCAGAAAATTTTGGAGAGACAGTATTAACATTAAGAGTCATGGCATCTGACGTACGGAAGCCACTGGCACATGTCACTTTGCTGATGGATTGTATCAGTGTCACTGACATTGTTGCAGCACCTCACTGTCAGCTAGAGTATAACATAGACTGTGTAACACACGCACTTAACGGCAGAACAACCATTAGACTTCATGTCTTTAATATTTGTCTAGTGTCATGTATTTATATTTATTATATGTTTTGCTTTATATAGCCTACTTTTTACAAAATATTTAAATACATATTTTAAATATGTATTTAATGTCAGTGACACTGACACAATCCATCGGCACATGTCACTTCTGTGCGTCAGATGCCATGTCACTTAATGTTAATACCGCTACTGAAGTTTTGTGTGAGGGGTTGGTTTAGGGTAAGGGGATAGAAAATAGTTTTTACAGTATAAAAATCATTATGTCCACGGAATGCCCCCATAAAACATGGTAACCCAATGTGTGTGTGTGTGTGTGATGGCAGAAGCTAAATTTTCAGCAGCCATTACTCCAATCTCCAGTGTCAGAAATCATTCTAATATGCTGATTTGATGTTCAAGAAACATATCAGAAAACAGTTGTGCTGCTTATTACTTTAGTGGAAACTATGGTACTTTTTTTTTTCAGGATTCTTTGATGAACAGAAAGTAAAAAATGTAAATGTCTTTATTGTCATGTTTGATCAATTTAATGCATCCAACTGAATAAAACTGTTAATTTCTGCTTCTAAAAAAAAATCTTACTGACCCCAAAGCTATGAACAGCTGTGTAAATTTACTGGAAAAGCAAAACTGTAAAACCATAAGACTTGTTGTCAGAAGAAATATTTTGTTTTATTTTATTTTTTTCCTACTCATATATTTTTATTATTTGTTTGGAGAAGTCACATTACATTCAAATATTTTTCAAATTCATCATTGCTTTTCTATACATTTTCAAATAACTTGTTTTTTACAAAACCAAGACAAAATAAAAAATAGATAAATTATGAAAAAATATAAAAAAAATACAGTACAGAGAAAAAGAAAAAGGAGAAAAGAAGATTTTCTCAATATATTCGTTTAGTTTTGTTTTGTTTTTTTTAAACTACTGGACTATAGTTGTTTATTTGAAGCATAAATTAACAAAAATTTGTAAGGTTCTTGCTTTAATCAAGAAAAAAAATACCAATAGAGTAAGAAAAATAACTTGCAAAATAGTCTTGTTTTTAAGTTATCTTACACTGTTTAATCTGTTTTTAAGCACATTTTGACTGGAAAACAAAACAAAATGTTTGATTGATTTGCTCCCTAATGATTGATGATTTTGTCTCTTGTCAAACAGACCAGAAATGCGGGTTCTCGTCTGAATGTGATCATTGTGGCTGAGGGAGCAATC